ATGTAATATATAACGGCATAATAATCTCACAACTGCTACAAGCACATTTGCCTTTCTTAACACACGCGAGAGAAAGGCAACTGTTAAGAAAATGCCCTTTTGGGTAAGACAGGCCCACAGGCCCTGCATGCAAGCGTACTAACACACATACATGCAATGAAGAACAGCTTACACTACAGCACACACTATACATGCGCCTATATCTCTCATTGGTGTTAAAGCAGGGAAAACTTAACAGAGTTTTGTTATCAAATGCTGAATTTATCCACTGCTGACATTTAACTCTTCAGCTTGACAATAGGTGAAACGTTTGTGAAAACAGAGAAGAAAAAATAAAGACAGAGAGATTCTGGTATGACCAAGCAGTAATCAGACAATAAATTTAGTTGGTAATACAATAAATTGTGAGATGTTTTCTGTTTGATTGATGCAACACAAATAATTTACTGTATGAAGGAAATTCTCTTTTGTGATAATATTTTGAATGTGCATTTCAGTTGACCTGTCAACTTAGCGCATTATAAGCTGATATGCAAATTAGTTGGTTGATACTAGATTTGGAAAAATGACTGGATTATAAAATAAGCGAATAAGATGTGACAAGGGTTGAGATTAGTTTCTTATTTCTAGTGTGTGGAGGAAGGTTTTATCATGGCACACATCTGTTTACATGAGAGGAAACTCCTTATGTGATATGACATTTAGCAATTTGCAAATGTGCAGCACATCAGAAGGATGACTCTGAAATTACAAAGGGAAACAATTTTGCTGACAAAGCTGCAAAAGCAGCAGCCATAGCAACCACAGTCTTATTAACAACTCATGAAAACCACACCATTCCACTATCTGTACTGCAGGACGAACAAAAAGCAGCACCACCAAAAGAACCAAAACAATGGCTGAAACACGGAGCAGTACTGGACACTGATGAAAATAGCAGGAAAACCCATTCTTCCCGAATCATTGCACAAAACAGCCGCTGTAGTGAGCCATGGTTTGAGCCATGTCTCAACAGGAGTGATGATCTGAGGGATTGTCTTTATAATAAACCGACAATTCTACACTATAAATTTTGAAACTTCAGCAAAAGAATACGTGAGAACATGTATGACCTGCCAAAAACACAATACCCAAGGTAACTTAACGGTGTGTTCACACCGAATGCGATAGACGCACATTTGCACCTCAATACGTGTCCAAGAAAAATCCATCGCGCCTCAAAATTGCATATTTTGACACGCATGAACCGGAAATGTGGGAGGGATGTGGGAGGAAGTTGTGCCAGACCAGTATCTTTGCTAGATGGCAGCTGTCGAGCTAGCATTTGAAGAGAGAGTCTACGTTCTCTATTTACTGTGGAGAGCAGAGCAGCGGTGTTAAGGACGTCCTCGCCGTACCTGGGTCCATCAGGTCCTCCAGACACGTGAGCAGTTTGGTGAGTTTCACCACTTGCTCCAGGAGCTGCGCCTGGATGATTTTTGTGATATCACCGTCTTTCACTCGTACAGTTTGAGGACCTGCTGTCCTGCATCGGTCCTAGAATCGCCCGCCTAGACACCAACTATTTGTAAATGATGTGATCAGCAAAGTATCTGAAGCACTAGGTTTCAGTTTAAAACACCATTGTGCCTACCACCCACAGAGTGCAGGATTAGTGGAAAGAACAAATGGCACTATAAAACAAAGGCTCAGGAAAA